TAAATCGGAATTGACTTCACAGTACATTGTTGTTGTGATGATGATGATGCAACAAAGTTCCCCCTCCCCCCCGCCACCTCTCTGAAATGCAAGAAATGTTATATATATTAAAATCTATGTTTTGATTGGGGACTCACTTTCCTGCTAACATTTTGATGCTTGGGGTGAACCTAAGCTGATGAATGATTTGACTAATAGGGTTACAGGAGGCTAAAAACTCTTTCATAAGTAGGATTTATGAAATGCCTGCATGGTTTCAAGTAGCTCACAAGTCTTCAGCAGAGAGAAAAGGGGCTTGTAAGATTAAGTTACTATTAGGGAGGTAGTTCAACTAAGGACGTGAAGTTTGTAGCTTTTTTTAGATGAGCAGACCGAAACAGATCAGGAATGTTTCTAGAAATTAATTTCCAAAAATGTTCAGTTCCTTACTACTTATCAATGTTACTTCAAAAGATGAAATACTTGATATCAAATATACTATGCAAATACAGAATGCTGTTTCAGCTTAGAAATGAAAGGTAGATTTTGTTTGGACTTGGATGAGTCATTTCTAGGTTTGTGAAAAAGGAGTAACAGTATGACTTAACCAGATTATATTCACAAAGTAAATACAAAATTTCCATTTCATTGGTAGAATATAATTTTTCATGTTTGAAAATGATTCACTTACATGAAAACAGTCAGTATATGTCAGGAGCATTAATTGATAAACATGATCAATGTGCCAAAAATGTAACATTCACAAGATTAGAAAAATTAATATTGATATATTAAAAAATCTTCTTGACACTTTTGATATATTAAAAAATCTTCTTGACACTTTTGAAAATCCAGTATAATATTTTTGAAAATACACAGATTTATCTATTTTGCCTTAACTTGTTTCTACCTGTGCTGAATTATTATTCACAAAAGGTATGACACTGTTCATGAGCTTCTTCGGATTCAGGAACTGCAGATAGCTTGGAAAGGTCACTAGAATTTGTCTTTGCTTGATTTGTCTTCATGCTCTGGCATTGCATTAAATACTTTTCCATGTACATGTCAATTAAAATCATTTTAAGATACATTAAAAACAGAAAAATTATATGGCTTTTTGTAGTTCTGTAATGCCTTTGGGAAGCTGGAAATAAACATTGGCAGTGGAGTTGCATGACAAGTTCTGAAGATTATTCTTATCACCAACACCTTCTGGTTTCATACATGATGTACAAAATGTACTGACCAAAGAACTTTTAAAAACATTTAAAAACTGCGGAAAGAGGAGCCATACCACAAACATTTCTTAACTAAGAACCCTTGCAGTGCAGGAGCAGTTGTTTTTTCTAAACTAAAACCTCAGCATTCGGGTTTTAATTGCAGTATTGGCACTTTGAAATAAATAAGTTGATTTTGTGTTGCATTTTGGGCACTCGGGCTCAAAAAGGTTCACCATCACTGGCTTAGATGGTTAGGTTTTGGAGGAAGATGTTTTAAGTAAAAAGCAGAAATAATGGATGAATGATTCTTTGTGAGTACAGAAAAGAACAGGCATCCTCATGCCTATGTCAGTGTACTCTATGCTCCTCAACATGTACTGTGGAATAGTTGATGTTAGCTGGCCCAGATGCTCTTAGTATTAAACATTATCGCTATATTTATTAATTACACTATGGTGCTTCTGACATCAACAAAGTAAGAAAAATAACTGCATTCTTTAGAACTCTTAAAGCATTCCTTATTGGAAGTAAATTCTGTGTTCTGCGTGAGTAGAAAAAGTAAGTGCTTAAATCTAATTAAAGTAAATTTTCGAAGTGGTAGGTAACATAAATCCTATTTATTCAATAAGTCTGCTCTGGCAGTGACTAGCAATTGAATGTAGGCCAGGGCGTGCAAGACAATTGCATTTATAAAATAATTGAATAATCTGTCATATACAAGAAAACTTTTGGAATCTTTTGTGGTTTTAAGACATACCAGACATAGCATACTATACCTCTATAAATATTGGCACCATGGACTATTGCTAGGTAAACTGTCAGAAAATATGCCAAGTATGCTCATTTAACTTGGAGACTGGATTTGTATATTTTACTCACTGTTCAACTACCACGGCCACTGAACGTTGTATGTGCTTGTTACATAGCACAAACTGGCATTACAGTATAAGAAACAGTAACATTGTCAGATAATAGGTTGCAGTGCTAAACTCGCATTGTTAAGGGGTAAGTTTGATCAATCCAACAGACTTGATCAAACTTACTCATTTCACTGAATATATCTGATTGAACATGCGAGACTTATTTAAGGAGTGCCTTGACCAGTCCCCTCCCCCCCGAGCTTCCATGGCTGAGTAGGGATTTGAACCCAGGCTTCCTGAGTCCTTATCTGTTACTGTCCACTATACTACATGGGTTATCCCATTTAAAGAGCTTATAGAAGCAAAAAAAGTGGGAAAATATATCTTCTCAAATAAGGATAAGTTTATAAGTAAGAAAGGGGTATTTATTGCTTAAAATGTGGGGACCTTAATTTTTCTGTCTCCTGCTGTGCTTCTGTACATCATCAGCTCGCGAATGTCTATAGCTATATTAATGATGCACTTATGCAAGTGTTTTATTACCTGAGAAGTGCTAAGGCACTTTAACGTAATGGTTCTGAAACTGTTTGAGTTTTATATCTGTTAAATGTATATACATGTGAATACTTTAGGTATAATGAGGTTTTACAGTCATGGCCAAAAATATTGGCACCCTTGCAATTCTGTCAGAAAATGCAACCCTTCTCTCAGAAAATTGTTGTAGTTGCAAATGTTTCGGCACTCTCATGTTCATTTCTTTGGTTTATGTTGGAACAACACAAAAAACCCAAGAAGAAAAGTTAAATCTGATACAGTCCCACACAGAAACTCAAAAATGCACTGGCCAAAATTATTGGCACCCTTAACTTAATATTTGGTAGCACCCCCTTTGGAAAAAATAACTGAAATCAATCACTTCCTGTAACCATGAATGAGTTTCTTACACCTCTCTACTGGAATTTTGGACCACTCTTCTTTTGCAAACTGCTCCAGGGCCTTCAGATCTGAAAGATGCCTTCTCCCAACTGCTGTTTTGAGATCTCTCCACAGGTGTTCTATGACAGGGGTCCCCAACATCCGGTCCGTGACCCAGCAGCAGCCCACGGCCTAGGCAGGATCAGGATGCGGACACAGATCTCCTGCTCCCCCCTGCACAGACAAGACTGTGTTCTTTGAATACCTCATTTCATTTTCTGTAAACAGTGCCACAATGTCCTTTACTAAAAAGTTCTACTTTTGTCTCATCTGTCCACAGTATGTTCTCCCAGAAGGATTGTGGTTTTGTCACGTAAGTTTGGGCATACTCCAGTCTTGGCTTTTTACGCCTTTGTGTCAGCAGTGGTGTCCTCCTGGTTATCCTACAATAGTGTCCCTTTTCATTCAGATGGTGATGGATAGTGTAAGCTGACACTGTTGTACCCTGTGTCTGCAGATCAGCTTGAATTTATTTGGAAGTTAATCTGGAAGATTAAAATCTCTGGAGATGGACTTGTAGCCTTGAGATTGTCAATGTTTTTCCACGATTGTTTTCCTACATTTTGTCTCTCAAATCCACAGACAGTTCTTTACACTTCATTATTTTCTCCATGCTCAGTGTCACACACAACACAAAGATTGAGTCAGCGTTTCTCTATCTTAACTGGTTGCAAGTACAGTGGTGCCTCGACTTACGAACTTAATTGGTTCTGGAACTCCGGTCATAACTCGAAATGGTTGTAAGTTGAAGCACCATTTTCCCTTGGGAAGGCATTGAAATGCAATTAATCTGTTCCGGTAGAAGAAAAAAACCACCAAAAACAAACAAACGAACACTGCAAGACCCATTGGAAATGCGATTAATCCGTTCTGGCCAAAGTGGGGGGGAAGAAAAGCAAACTGTGCAAGACCCTTCAGAAACGCAAAAAAAGCAAAGCAAAAAGCAAGCAAACTGAAAGACCCAAAGGAAATGCAAAAAAAAAAAGCAAAGCAGAAAGCAAACAAACCCCACAAGACCCATCAGAAATGGGGGGGAACCCCAAAAACCAAACAAACCCCGCAAGATCCATCAGAAATTGGGGAGAAAAAACAAAGCATACCCCCCAAGACTCATCGGAAATGGAAAAAAAAACCCAAGAAGCAAGCAAACCCTGCAAGACCCATCACAGCATACAAACATAATCCCACCACCCAGCCCAAAATCACCCTGCAAAACCCACCCGGAACAGTTTTTAAAAAGTACCTTACCTTAACCAGGCATTCCAAAGCCGCCTCTGATCGCGCTCATTCTAACCGTTCGGGCGAAAGAGCTGCAAAGAAGCAGCCTCTTCGCCTACCAACAGTTAGCAATTTGAATTCCCTGCCTTTTTCCCCTACCATTTTTGGTTGTAACTCAAAGCTCCGGCTGCAAGTTGAAGCAAAATTTTGCAGCCAGAGCTGATTGTAACTCAAAATGGTTGTATGTTGGGATGTTCGTAAATCAAGGCACCACGGTATGATTACTATATTGCCCACACCTCTTACGTGCGACAGGTGTGTCTAAATACAAATTAAAGGAGCATCGCATACTTTAAAATAATTTATTTCTTACAATTTAGACAGGGTGCCAATAATTTTGGCCAGTGCATTTTTGGGTTTCTGTGTGGGATTGTATCAGATTTAACTTTTCTTCTCTGGTTTGTGTGTGTGTGTGTGTTGTTCCAACGCAAACCAAAGAAATGAACATGTGAGTACCAAAACATTTGCAACTGCAACACTTTTCTGAGAGAATTGCAAGGGTGCCAATATTTTTGGCCATGACTTACTGTTAATACCGCTTACTTATGCAGGAAATCTTTTCAGTGGGCCTCTGAGCTATAAAGAAGTAGCTAATACATGAAGGGTCAGGATGGTTCTAATATTGAAATAGTTTTTCATTCCTATTTTCAAAGGAGAGCAAAAATAATAAATTTTATCTAACCTGCAGGGAGGTAACAATGCTGGTCATACTGTTGTAGTGGATTCTGTGGAATATGACTTTCATCTGTTACCCAGTGGTATCATCAATCCAAAAGTTACAGCATTTATTGGTAAGTGATTTTTTCCAAAATCTACATTTACCAGTTGTGGAACTGAATCTGGAAAGCATGTGAGAGAATATTTCTTGATGCTTGTGTCAGTGCTGAAGCATTGTGCAACAGCTGTGCTTAAATTATGATACACACATCTGTTTCCTACTTTGCCTAAGTAAGTACATACCTTTGTTTGAATACATTTCCATTACATTTCTAATGGGAAGTTGTTTATTTATTATGTAGTTTGTTTTATTTAAAGAGCCTCGCGGCGCAGTGGTTAAGCTGCTGTACTGTAGCCAAAACTGTTCTATCCCAGGTAGCCGGCTCAAGGCTAACACAGCTTTCTATCCTTCTGAGTTTGGTAAAATTGAGTACCCAGCTCGCTGGGGAGGGGCAATGTGTAGCCTGCATATTTAACTTGTAAACCGCCCAGAGAGTGCTTGAAGCACTATGGGGCGACATATAAGCAGCACGCTTTGCTTGCTTTACTTATTTTTCTTTCCTCCCAAACTTCTGTAGAGATTCTGGATCTCTTAAATCTGAGATCGGTACAGTATTTCCTCACATCAACTGTGAGGGCTGTTAATTCTCATCAAAAAGCACTTAACTGAAAATCTCTGAAGTTTTTCTCAGCCCAGTGGACTCACAATAGGGGAGGTACTAGGTATACTGTACATTTTGTTGTTACTGTTATTTCCCAGGCTAATAGCCTTTGGGATGATACTGTTTAGGGAAGTAAGTTTACAATAAACTATATTTTGGTTTCTCTTCCACTGTATAGTATTTACATGCCTACTCGCTACACAGAGATTGCAGGAGGCTACTCCCTCAATAGCAAATGGATGTCCCCCCTCCATATTCAATTGACACCTCTCAATGAATGTCTCATATGCACACGATCCCACCTCCTTACAAGGTCTAATTCTAAGCATATTATCAGTTTCCAGCTTTTATGCAGGATATCATATGTGGTCTGCAAAAGCACCCAGAACAGTTTTTAAAAAGCAGAAAACCACCTTACCTTACTAGGCAGCCTGAAGCCTCCCTGCAAACACACTAACTCAGAAGCAGAAGGAGGCAAGATGCACACTCTAACTGCTGGGGCAAAAGAGCTACAAAGACGCAGCCTCATTGCCACCTACAGTTAGAAATTTGAATTTCCTGCCTTTTTTCCCTGTCAAGCTCCAGTTGCAAGTAGAAGCAAAGATTTGCGGCCAGAGCTGGTCGTAACTCAAAATGGTCATAAGTAGGGATGTTCATAAGTTGAGGCACCACTGTATATCTTATCTCAGTTGTTTTTCTTTGAGGTCTTATAATGTTTTCTCTCCAGAACCATCACTGTGAAGTCATTTAAAGCGTGTCCAGGTAGACTGGAAATGTTCTAAAAATAGGTTTTTGTTTATTGCTGTTCCTGGTGTCAGATTTATGTCTCTTAATTCTTTTGTACAGAATCTGTCCTTTTTGTCTTATGTAGAGTCCAGAGGGGCACTCCATGCCAGCACTGAAGGGCTGTCTAAACCTCTGTGTCTAGATATGATCAATAAGTAGGGGATCATTCATGTTGGTGAAATATAGGACAAATTCTTATACTTTTAGCCAATGCTATTAGAAAGCACTTTCACCTCTACCAGGTATGTCGCCTAATTTTGAGCAGTCTCTTCCCCACAGATAGGTATACTTTCTCCATGCCATGTTAATATTGTTCCAGAGGTTACACTGATAACTGAGGGCAACTTGAAATAAACAGTAGGTAGGGAAGAGTGGCAAACTTCAATGTCCTCTGGTTGTTGTGGGTTTTTTGGGCTCTTTGGCCGTGTTCTGAAGGTTGTTCTTCCTAACGTTTCGCCAGTCTCTGTGGCCGGCATCTTCAGAGGACAGCCTTCGTGAATATATTCAATGTCCTCCTTTGTAGAAATGGAAATGTAGTTTGCAAGGGGAAAACCACCATTTCATGCAAGCTTTGGATTTTAACTGAAATATAAACAGTCTATGGTTTCTAATAGTATAAGCATTCTTTTCCCAGCTCCAGAGTGAAATCTTTGGGCTATAAGAGAGATGTTTAACATGTCTTACTTCCCATTTTCAATTCTCTACTTTGTGGCTTTTGGTAGGAAATGGTGTGGTGATTCATTTGCCAGGATTGTTTGAAGAAGCAGAGAAAAATGTTAAAAAAGGAAAAGGTGAGAATAGTTTTTTTAAGGTACTATTTACAACTAGATTTCGCACTCCTGAAATGATATACTTGGTGAACTAGAAGTATCTGGTACCCAATTTGCATGTTGTTTTTTTTAAAAAGTTAATTCCCTTAAGCTGTTTCCCCCAGAAAATATTCATGCCTTACACTTAGGTAAAGGTAAAGTTTCCCCTTGACATTTAGTCCAGTTGTGTCTGGTGGTGCTCATCCCCGTTTCCAAGCCGTAGAGCCAGCATTTGTCCGTAGACAGTTTCCATGGTCATGTGGCCAGCATGGCTAGACATGGAACACCGTTACCTTCCCACTGTAGTGGAACCTATTTATTTACACACATTTTATATGCTTTCAAACTGCTAGGTTGGCAGGAGCTGGGACAAGTGATGGGAACTCACTCCGTCATATGGATTCGAACTGCTAATCTTTTGATCTTGCAGCCCAGAGGCTTCTGCAGTTTAACTTGTAGCGCCGCCACGTCCCCGATTTACACCTAATTACACCTTATTTTTAATATCTACAGCTAACTGTTGTATTAAAAATTCTCTATCAGTGGCTAAGAATGTTCCCCATATTTAAATAGCTTATTTAAAAAAATATTGCTTGCTGAAATAAATGGTAGATGAAAGCAGTAACATTTAATATCTAGCCTTAGCAGTGTCTATCCTTTTGTAAAATGAACACTCTGGTGGATCAGATTACCCATCCATTCTCCTCCCATATCAATTCCAGAGAGCTTGAAGGTCTTGCAGAACAAATTTGGATGGGTGCGGGAAATTAGAAGGGCGGGGAAAGGAGGGCGAAGTTCCATTGCAAGTAGTGTCCATTAATGAACAACTTTGAATAGAACATAAGAATCCCCAGTACTTCAGCTGGATTCATTTTTCAGTCCTACATTTCAGACAAGTCATGGCTACCAAAATGTATTTGCTTTTTCCCAAAAAAATAAATGAGTTAGTTTTGCGGTGTTTTCTTAAGAACATTCAGCAGCTCAGATTACATTGTGGTTCTATGCATGATTACTTGGGACTAATCATGGTTCAATATTGGTATTCAGTATTCACAGAGTAATCATAATTCAATATCTGTATTCAGTATTTAGTACATACTGGTTGAACTCTTGTTGCTTAGCATAGTAAGTCACAACTAGGCCTATTGAATCAGTAGAACCCACAGAGGAGTTGACTCACCAAATCCCAAGGGTTCAGTGGGCCTACTCTAGTTGTGATTTACTGTGCTAAGTAACAGGATTTCAGCCATAGGATTGTATCATTAACCATTCAAGAGTAATTGATTGGCCAATATTATGTTATATCCTATTTTTTCTAAAGGATTAGAAGGCTGGGAAAAAAGATTAATTATATCTGACAGAGCGCATATTGGTAAGTAAAAAATATTAAAAAATCATAACATTATTTATCTGTAATAAGTCTGATGTGTTTCTGTTTTGTAAATACATGGCAGTAATATAGGACAGAATGCAAGGGACTGTATGGGAATGCTCCATATGCACAGTGAAATTTCCATGCAACATAATGCAATGAGCAAAGTCTTGTTCATGCAAGTATAACATAAAGTAAATGTTCTGGGCATTACACCCCACAACAAGGAATTACACAATTCAATTGCATGATTGGTCATGTGTCCTTGGTGCAACCAGTTGTTCAAAGCTGAGATGGAAGTGGTTCCTGGATAACACTTCTGCCTCAATACTATCATAACTAATGCAGGTACAACATTGAGCCTACTTTCTTCCTCAACAATATTTTACACAATAGGTTGTGGCTGAAGAATAGAAGTACTTGTTAATTCCCAAGGTGTTCTTTGAATTGCTATTTACTGTTTTTTTGTGCTTCTAGAATCTAAGTGTCCATATGGGAGTAAATGTAATTAGAGTATTAATGTTTCCGGTCAAATCTGCAGTCCCTCCATCAAACATGATCTCGTAATAACTATCCATTGAGATTCTGATTCTGAAAATAGTTTTCTAGTAACTGATTTTGGTGATTTGATTTGGCTATCAAATTAGAAGTCATGCTTTCAGATATGAAAGAGTAATTTCTCTATTTAAATTGGACACAGTAGATGGTCTTCCATATATAGGAAGAGCTCTGAATAGAAAAAAAGATTCATTTATCACATTTGTGTTAGTTGTTGTGTAGTCGTCATGTCCGATTCTTCATGACCCCATGGACCAGAGCACGCCAGACTCCTGTCTTCTACTGCCTCCTGGAGTTTGGTCAAATTCATGTTGGTAGCTTCAATGACAGTGTCCATCTTGTCCTCTGTTGTCCCCTTCTCCTTTTGCCTTCACAGTTTCCCAATATCAGGGTCTTTTCCAGGTAGTCTTCTCATGAGATGGCCAAAGTATTGGAGCCTCAGCTTCAGAATCTGTCCTTCCAGTGTTAGTAGTTGTGTGTAATTGCTCTCATACTGCATGACTAATTTATATATACAATTGTTGGTTAGATTTACTTTCTGCCTTTTTATTTAAGCTGATCAGAAGAGAAATTACAGAAGTCCTTATCTTGCTTTTTTCAAACAGTGAGCTCTCAAGCAGAAATAATTAGATCTCTTAAAGCGTTTGCTGAGGACAAATGTCTTTACTTGAAGTTTAGAAAATTGGCAACTGTTGCTTTGTCACAATTGATAACCACTTCAGATATTGGGTGTTCAGTGGTATATTCAAAATTTGATACATCCAGAAATGTTTCATCAGTTTTTCTCCCTAGCTACAGTATTTAGTGCAGTGTGGTTCTATGGCCATAGTGTGGTTCTATGTAGCATGCAAATTGCTTAGGTATGATGCTCTCAAACATATGTTAGAATGAGAAGCCTATGTGGAATATTTAGCCTTATAAGCAGGATCAATTGTGTTTATCTTTTCCAAAAAACCAAAGACCAATTAGTAAAGAAAATTCCTATCATAAGAAACCCCAGTTTCTAAAGACCCTATGAATAGTTGTTTCCCAGAGTTCCAGACTTCCATACCAATGCTCTGTGTGTCATAAGGATAGCTACTACACCTCAATCATGTGTTCCCATTTATCACATGTAAACTCATGTTGGAAGATTTATCTTATAAATTATGACTAGGAAACCTCAAACCAATGAGCTGATTGCTTGAAGCACTTCTCCTCACAACCACATGACTCACTGCTGTTGGGCCTGAAGAAGCCTTCCTTTTGCATATGTGAAGGGCAAGAAATTACATGATTTGAAATACAAATTTCCTATGTTGTTGGAATTGTTTCCTCTCAACCCAACAGTTCTTTGTTTCACAAAGGCAATGACTTTCTCTCTCTGCCACAAGTTATTTGGAAATTGTAGGAAATTGCTGTGACTGCATCTCTAGGGTCAGAAACCCTGAGAATTTCAGTCTTCCCGGAATGCCTGATGGCTGTATCACCAATGGAATCTGGGATACTGCTGGTGCCTGAAACAAGTGGGAGATGGGGTTAGCAGTTATTAATTCCAATACTGCTTGATGAAAAGGCACCTGATTAAAATGACTGAGATAACCATTGATTGATTGATTGATTGATTGATTGATTGATT